TACGCGAAAAGCAAACACACCAACACCCGCCGTAAATCAATAATGAGGGGCACTGACAATACCACATACCCTCTAGGGGTTAATGCTGATTGGTTAACACTCCCCTAATTTGCATAAAAACATAAACATGAAAAACCTAGATACAAGAATATTACAACACGTAAACAAGGAAATTAACTTAAGTAAATTCACACATATATATCAAAACGTTCCACTGTAGAAAAAACAACCTATGATATATATAAGCAAGGGAGCAATAAAAAGTTGTATATAAACTATAATTTAACACACATGTCAAATTATCATATTAAGTATAACACATTTCTTTTCACTCCAAGGTCCTAGAAGAGTGTATTGCTAGTGCGATACAGTCTCTTACCTATTGCCCTTTGTAATCAATCCCAAAAATCTGAGAGGAACGGTTAATTGCTTCAATTAAAATGTAACAGGGCAAAGAAACAAATAAATGCAGTTCATGCTTGCCCAGTGTCTGCAGCTAGTGGGAAAGAATGACAGTGCTGAATGCATTTAGCAAAATACAAACACATAATAAATCTGGTGTATGTGGTCAAGATCCTGGGCAAATCCTCATATTGTGTCCGGAATCTCTACAAAGTTCAGTGGTTTTCAACTGAAACTTGAGAAAGAGTTACAGTGTCTGGAAGCTTAGATGAAAAGGGAAAAGGGCTGTAACTCTAGGGAAAATGAAAAGAAACTGTGATAGTTCAACAATATGCACATCATCATATTGTGTTTTTAACCTCTAAAAGTTTAGTAGTCATGCAATTAAAAGTTTGAAGGAGTTGTGTTCGTGGAAAAGTTTGAAGGAGTTGTGTTCGTGGAAAAGTTTGAAGGAGTTGTGTTCATGGAAAAGTTTGAAGGAGTTGTGTTCGTGGAGAAGTTTGAAGGAGTTGTGCTCGTGGGAAAGTTTGACAGTTACAGAGAATGAGAGTTTAAGTAAAGAAGGCCCATAACTCTGAGAAAAATGAAATGACGCCAATGACATGACAATATGCCTATATCCTTACTTTGTGTCCAAAACATCTACAATGTTCTGTTGTTTAATACTTAATATACTAATACTACCAAGGCAAAGTATTGCAGAGCAATCATTCTTCCCCTTTGGTAATGATTTCTCTATTTACGAAGCTGTGCACCTGTCTCAGAATCAATCGACTCTAAAAAAAGTATCCTCATACAGAAAACGATTTCCATCCAAGTTCAAAACATAGATCACAGTGACTAACTTTTGGAACTGTAAATTCTGTTATCTCAGGATATATCAGCATACCAAATTTGGTTACTCGGAGAGAAATAGTACATAAGTTGAGCTTTAGACAATCTTTCAGTGTCTAAGGTCAGAGGTCAAAGCATATATCACAGTGACCTACTTTTCAAAAACTGCACTCCACTAACATAAGATGAACATGCACACCAAATATGGTCAACCCTGATGAAAAAGTACAGGAGATTAACCCTGAACAAAAAAAAATCAACGGGTAAGGCCAAAGGTCAAAGTGTAGGTCACATTGATCTACTTCTTGTACTCTGCCATTCAAAGATGTACTTGTATACCAAATCTGGTTACTCCAGGTTAAATGTAGTTTAGATGGAATTTTGTTCATTTATTCTGTCTATAAAGGTCATCTCTAAATAGCAAATAGCTGCATGGTAAATTTCTTTTTTCATAATTAAATCATTGTATTTTAACTTCTATATAGTTTTTTGTTTTGTTTTTGCTTTACATTCTATTAACAGCTATGATCATTTGAGGATTAGCCAGGTTTTGGTGGTGGAGGAAAACCAGAGTACCAGGAGAAAAACCACTGACCTGCAGCCAGTACCTGGTGACTGCCCCACATAGACCTTGAACCCATGACCCAGTGGTGGAGTGCTAGTGACCGTAGATGGACAGACACCATAACTTATAAAAAACAGGATCAAATGTATTCCTGAACATACTGCAATAAGCCCAGGGGGTTGACACAGTATCTCTGACCCAAAGAAGTGCTCACTTCAGAACAACAAAATAACATTTCTTGGCATTTCTATTGAAATGCAGTAGATATGGCCGGGCTTATTGCCAGACAAATACACTTAGTTCACTGTTTCAGGTGAGATACCAACATGATTTTACCTGTACTTCTAAATCCACTTACATACACTGTAGGTTCCTGATTCTGGAGCAGCCCATACCGGTATGTTGTCATCCACTCCGCTGACAAACACATGGACGGTCACTGTGGTGGTCAGCCTTAAGACTGCATCCCGGTCCCTACAGGTGATAATCAATGTCCAGCTTGTCGCCTCGGTATCCACATCAATGGTGGTCAGTGTTTTCACATCGCCATTGTTTACTTCAAACTTGGCGGTATCTCCTATAGACGTTATCAACAATAAGGAAACACACAAACACAACTAAAACATAGATATACACAGTCAACATTGTGGTTTTCCATAGAGAAATATTAATTTGCATAGACAAATTTCCAAATTAATGAAACACAACATTTGGGGACACCAACCCAAGCATGTGAACACTTTATCAATATCTTTGCTGTGGCCATTTGACCCCTAGAAAATACCATGAATGATCATTGTTTTTCACAAGGAAGATGACCATGGATTTTAAGAAATTCTTCTATATATCATGATATTTATAAGTGCAGTTGCTACTGAGGAAATCTGTTCTGATGAGCACTGTCTAGTGTTTAGCATTACATGGTTTCACTGTACTGTGCAGACATTTAGATGTTTTTAATTCATATTTCAGAAGAATATGAATTCAAGAAATAAAGACATGCATGTTCATGCATCCCATTTTTTTCAGATCCATCTGAATATCTATAAATACTAGATATTTGAAGGTGAAAATTCAGTGCCAATGTGGCACTAACACAGAGATTGGGAGTTTTCAGAATTGTATCAAAAAACTTTTTTTCATAAAGTATCGATTAAAAAGCAGACACCCTTATTTATTAAAAAAGAATTTCATTTAAGAAATGAGGTATTGAATTGACATTTAAATACAAGCTCTTTTTTTTCAAATTTGGAAATATGGGGACGAATTCGGCAAAAAAAACTTCCATTTGGAATTCAACCACAAAATGACCCCACTACAAACCCGAAATATTAATTGAAAACCTGATATCTGATCTACAACTAATTTACAGTATAACTCTATCTGATCTACAACTGATTTACAGCATAGCTCTATCTGATCTACAACTGATTTACAGTATAGCTCTATCTGATCTACAACTGATTTACAGTATAACTCTATCTGAGCTACAACTGATTTACAGTATAACTCTATCTGATCTTCAACTGATTTACAGTATAACTCTATCTGATCTACAACTGATTTACAGTATAACTATATCTGATCTTCAACTGAATTACAGTATAACANATCACTGATTGTTATATTGTTAATCTAACCAACAGTGTTGCACAGGCCCAGACCAGGATTCCATCCCTGGCTCATGGATTGTTATACTGTTAATCACTGATTGTTATACTGTTAATCTAACCAACAGTGTTGTACAGGCCCAGACCAGGATTCCATCACTGGGTCACTGTTTGTTTTACTGTTAAACTAACCAACAGTGTTGTACAGGCCAAGACCAGGTTTCCATCACTGGCTCACGGATTGTTATACTGTTAATCTAACCAACAGTGTTGTACAGGCCTAGACCAGGATTCCATCACTGG